GGAAGAGACAATTAACAGAGGAAAAATGTACAAACAGATCGACAGTCTACAATAACAGATTTCCTAGAGCATAGTGATCCTTCTTAAAAACAGGTTTTATTCCCACAAAGCAAGCTATCATTACTCCTCTGCTATATGGAACCCACAGATTCCCACACACTCCTAACCTGGTTTGCTGCTTGCTTTAGTACTCTTTAAGGTAGCTGGTGGCGTCGGGAGGATCTTTGCAGGTGTGTATGTATTTAAAGATATTTTTCTTCTCATTACTGGACTGGAACGTGAAGCTGCAGAGGCTGGAAAAAACAAAACCAATATAGTAATTCAATAATTTCCTGACAATTTTATCAAATCTAAACTAACTAGATTACAAGTTATTAAAGAAATCAGACTGTCTTCCATATTACCCAGCTGAGGTTCATCTTCATGCAAGGGAATTTTAGAGGGTTTTTTCCCTTTCTACAAGGTGGGGGGATTGAGAGGTGTGAAATGGAAAAGTAGGGATAATTCTTAAGCATGAGGTCCTCTGGGAAAAACCAGGGAGGAGTGGAGGACCACTGGAATGATCTTCTGGGTTCCTAAACAAGGGCGGTGAGGATATAACAAAAAACAGATTTGCCTATTTTTACAGTTTTGGAAGAGGACCTGATAGCAATAAACAGTGTGTCTCTGAAAAATCAATATGTGGGCCAATTATGGTAAATGTGCCTTAGGCAGTTGATACGTACATTAAATGGATATAAATTCCACTGGCAGAAGATCAATGTAGCCACTAATAAAATAATATGTAAGTGATTAAAAAGTCTCTAAGACATCATAAAAAGCAACACATCATTACTTAGCTCCTTCCTGCCTGCATTTTTTATCCTATTGTAACTTCCACCTCTAACTTATCCAATTCTCACACTTTTTCCCCCAATCTGATATTATCAGTGCCCCGATGTAAGCTATCTATCAGTTACCACAAAATGGAATAACTGTGTCCTAGGTGAGGAAAAAAAGATTTTAATGACAGATGTTAATAATGTCTTCTCCCTTGTTATAAACACCACAAAATCAGTGTAGTTCTATATTATGATGTTACTTCCTCGGCAATCATGGAATTAAGTATAAATAATGTAAATATATTGTGATTACTAAAAAGTAATTCTACAGTTGTATGATAAAATACAGGATTCAGATACTTCCATCATAATTGGCACCTTACTTTCTTTAATATTCAAAAAGAATGAAAAAACCATATATTTAGGAGATCTGGCTTTTAGTCTTGATTGGCCACTAACTAGGTTATTTACCCTATGGTGTCTTTCTAAGTTTTCTCCTTAAAACAGTAAACTTTTCTCAGGGGGGAGGATATAGCTCAAGCTGTAGAGCACATGCCTAGCATACACAAGGTCCTGGGTTCAATCCCCAGCACCTCCTCTAAAAATAAATAAATATGCAAACCTAATTTACCTCCCCTGCCCGACAAAAACCAAACAACAACAACAATAACAAAACAGTAAACTTTTCTCAAGTGAAATCTTAAATAAAATGGATCAAAGCAGATACTCTGGTTGAAGCAGCCATGGAAGACACAAGGTCTAACCATTTAGCATCTTTCTCTTCCTTGCGTAACTTCCAAAAGCTCTTGGGAATACAGTCTGAAGACCAGTGAACTAGATTAACTGCAAGGTTTATCCAGTTCTACCAACTGCATTAATTACACTTACTTTCTCATCTAGTTCCCTTAGTAAGTAACGGTATGAAATTTTAAGAAAGCTGGAGGGATTGGGGTACAACCCATATCCACAATATAGAGAAGAGTAAATTAGAACTGGAAAAGGAATTTAATATCCTTCATTTCATTAATATGCCTCAATAATAAACTCTGAGGAAATGAATTCACTAATCACAGAAATAAAGCCATCATAAAATAGTAGTGTCATAGCATAAGCCTTCAAAGATTATCTTTTTGTAAATATTCCACCAAAGTTCTCTTGAAAACAGATGTCATTATTGCTGCTTTACCTTTAAGACATTTACTGAAGATCTTCTAAATTCAAAACAGCATTGCTATACACTCTAAATTCTTACTTACTAATTATAATCTTTCTTTAATCTCTATTTTAAGGTTTGTAATCCCTGAGCCAGGGAAGCAGTGAAACATTAAGTATAAAGAGGGGTAAAGGGAAAATGAGAATTTATTCAGATTCTCTACTGTGTTCTGAGGAGCAACATTGTCCATTCTGTCAGCTAACAGAGAACATAAAAGGAGATAAACACCCTCCAATTTCCTGACTTTGACTTTACAGCCTAGAGGTTTTTTCATTTGGAGTACTATCAATTCTCAGAATTAGACACATTCATGTGCAAATTTAAAACCGAAACCTACTTCCCCAAACCATTCCTAAAGTGAAATATTTTAGCAGATTTATAGCAAGATACCTTTCCATTACCATTAATGATTGAAAGCAGGCTTCTACCACCGGAAGTGGAAGAAAAGGGAAAGGCCACTACACTGAAGAAATGCAGAGGCACCATTGGACAGAATAGAATGTGAACAGAGCTCTCCAGAATAATACAATGTCGTTGCCCCAGAAAGGGAAGCAAGACATTAAAGTGGCTTTCATTCCAAGACCTCTAATTTTATTCTTGGGAGAAACATATTCACAGCATTCTTCTTACAAAAAGGTGCCCGTATACACAGAAAGTTTGTAGCTTTTCTAAGATATGACTAGGACTAGCAACTCTTGCTCTAAGTGGAGCACTCTCTCCCAAGTCAAACGCCTCTTAACTGTAAGTTCCAATGTGTCAAAGGATCCTACAGAGCTGACTATGACAACAGCTAGCAGACTCCTCACACCTAGAAAGGTAGCCCTGAACATTTCCCAAACTGATGTCCCTCAGACTAGTTCCACATGACGTTTAAATGTGTTACCAAAAAAGCGTTTTCTCAAAAAGTAAGCTTTGGAAAATGTGGGTGTATAGCTTTCTTTATAGGAGAACCTTAGCTGTTTCTATGCTGATGTACTACACCTCTCCAAAGGCAGGCAGGATATGACGAACAGTTTCTAAGACTTACTTAGCCATTAACCCTTTTTCTTTATATACACAAATTAACCTCTTTGAATATTTTCTGATGACACAATTTGAAAAACTGTTGTCCTAATTTCCCCCCTTTTTTTGGAAGAAAAAAGATTTTTGGGAAGGGTCAAGAAAAGTGGTACATTGCATATTATACCAAGAAATTCCAAATAATCTTCTTTTACACCCCTTTCCTAAAATTCTATTTATGTTATTCTATTCTATGATCACTACTTGAATTTGTTTTAATAATTCTTTTTATATTTGGGGGGAGCGTATAGCTCAAGTGGTAGAGTGCCTGCTTAGCATGTACAAATTCCTGGGTTCAATCTCCAGTACCTCCTGTAAAAATAAGTAGATAAATAACCTAATTACCGCTCCCTCCCGTCCCCCCCAAAACAACAAAAAAAAAGCAAAAACAAAACAAAAAACAAAAAGAAAGAAAGCTTTTTATATTCAGATAACATCTACTGCCTAAATATCAAATAATAGTAATAATTTCCTACAGATTTCAGGGGTCTTCCGTGGAACTTCACTTGATGGAGAAGCAATGGAAGCAAGAAAGTCATCCACCTGCTTTAAAGACAGGGCATTGTGAAGAGTTTCTAGAGGACAAATAGATGGCACCATGGAATACAATTCAAAGCCTGAGGAAAAAAAACAAAACAAACAAACAAAAAGTTGGATATTTTAAAAATCACTAATTAAAAAGGAAGAGGACCACTGCTTAGAACTGGACAGTTTAGGTCTTTTCAATCTATCACATGCAAACACACGAGATCTCTGAAGTCATGACACCAGATGCTATGCAATATGGGGCTGGAACAAGATGTGACAAGATTTCATTTTAAACATAACCACATAGTATATAGCATGCACACAATTTCATTCTGTATTTTGGTAAAATCTAAGAATAATACTTAAAGAAAAAAACCTGGGGTAAAAAAACAGGAAAAAAATTTTTTTTCAGTTTTACTTTTTAAAATTAGGTCTATTTGATAGGTGAGTAAGCTGATGCCATGATGTGTCCCTGATGCCAGGATGCTAAAGGTAACTTCTTGTTGAAAAACAATTATGTGATTTCTTGTGAAGAGTGATTTTAAATACTTCTCTAGTCATACCAAGGCCATCAAGATTCTCTAGTGTGACCCCCAAACAACATTCTTCATTTACACTGACATTAAAATTCCAAAACACGTTTCACCTACCTTTATTGAATTAACACAGTAATTCTAATGGTTGAAAATTACTAGCTAAAGTCAGGCCAAGTAAAAAACAATACAAAATACAAACATGTCTGTATTCAACAATGGCACAGAAATACAAAAATTTCATGAAACAAACCATGCAGATATGTATTAATACCACCAGTGAAACAAAAGTACTTATATACACAGTTTTTTAAAAACAAATAGGATATAGGTTATTCCCTTTAAAAAAAATGTGTTTACTTCAACTTTATTCAAATGAATGGCTTTTAAAATTGCTTTTATATATAACTAAAAATATCAACTCTTTCTGCATCTACTCTTTGAAAACTTCAAACTAATTTTTTTCGCAAAGAAAATACTTTAATAGGTCTTATATAAAGTCTAATATTGTTAACTTAAAAGTTAACTAAACTCAGACTGGAAAACCCTCTGCTTCAATAGACATGTGCTTATTTTAATACTGACTGATATTTACTTAATTTAGCAAGAAAACAATGATCCAAGAACTGTCTAAATCTTAGCTGGACTAAAGAGAATCTAATCTTCCAGTGAAAATCACTAAACGATTTACAAAACTGATGCAAACCAAAGCATGACAGAACATAATATATACTTAAAAACAAACAAACAAACAAACTATAATACCATAATAGCAGCTAAAGCGCCTAAGTTAAGCACTAAAGAAATTAGGCTGGCACAAGTATTATATTTTAAGTACAAGATTCATGCAAATAAGCGCAAACCCCTTCTTTGCATTAAGCTAAACTTGACATTATGTTGGGTTTTTTTTAATCCTTTCTCAGAAAGTCTTTTGTAACAACTATTTTCTTGCATTTGCCTGTTAGATTTTATAACAGGCAAATGACAATACAGTGAAGTCCCTCTGGACTACTTTTCCATTTATCTTTAGCAAACTTTCTCTTTAAGGCACAATGAAAGGGTTAACGCAGCAATTTAAAAAGCCACCCTGCTGTCATGTTTAGAAGCTATGAACACATACCACTGGAGCCTAGAAATTCCACAGAGGAAACGGACCAGCACCTATAGAGGTGTAGGTGTTCTGCACAGAGGCCCAGAAAATAAGGTAAAGCACTGTCAGAAGATACTTGTTTCACCATGTTCCTTGAACTAAAGATGAAGGGGAGGGGTAAGTCCATGATATGTGTTAAAATGGAAATAACATGAAAGTTAAGGGAAATAAAAGTAAAAGAAAGAATCAAATGACAATTTATAAGACAGATATGACAACACAGCATAAAAAAGAAAAAAAAAATTTGAAAACCCCAAAGAAGTTGAAAGGGATGCATTTTATACGCATCTAGTTGCACAATGTGTGGAAAAGCCATTTTTTAAAAAGCCTAAACCAAAGGAATACAAAACTACTCTATTTTCTGTTAAACTTAACAAAAGTTGTTTTTTTTCCTCCCCCAAGCTTTGGTAAATACAGATTTCTCCTATATAAAACTTGCAATACTGGCTATGAACACATAAGCATTCTGCACAAAAGCTATAGTCGTTTTAAACCTGCAATGTCTCTTCTTAGAATTTTGTGACTTGTTTTTCTTGTGACGTCAGTTTTTCTTCTAAGAAGTTCTTATGCTTGTGGGTTCTTTAGAAGCTGCAGGTGTATCAAATAAGGATTTTTTTTTTCCTTCAAAAAGAAGCATTGAAACAACTTCAATGGAGGGAAAGCACATTAAGCTTTAAGGCTAAAGTTTTAGTTGTTGAGGATCAGAGCTTCTTACTCCAAGAAGTATTAGTGCACTGTTATTTAGATGTGCTGTTAAAGGATCCAGAAGGGGGAGAATGACCATGAACTTGTGTTCAATCCTTTAGCTCCACAAAAGTTTTTGAAAGATATGACTTGAGTTTTTGAAAGACTTATTTGCAGTTAAAAAGAAAAGCTAAAAAAGTTGCAGGGATAAAACTGCCTTCATTCCGAATAAAGGTAAAAACCTGTGTGTTTTCCTTTAAATTCTTTGATCCTGAATTATTTGAAAATGATCAGTAAATACTCCCTCTTGCCCCACAAGAAAAAGCTCCGTGTAAGAAAGCTGTAAGACTGCAGGAATTCAGTTTATAAATAATGGCCACAAAACACCTTCTTATTCAACCTCAAAAATTAAATTTAATTGAATTTGGCTTTCTAGATTTTTAGCTTAGTCTTCTTAACAAGAGTCCTCTAAATTTTAACAGAAGACAATTTTGTTTGACAGCAGCAAACCACATTGCCACATGAGGACAAGGCGAATGCTAAATTAAGTTATCAGAGCGCTCCAGACCAAGTTGGGTTTTGCTTTAGACAGCCAGGGGTAAATGATGTTACACAGTGAAACCTGTATCCCCTGGTTCCCAAGAACTTATCAAAGACACATTTCATTTAGCTATTTGACAAATGTAGCTTTGTATTTTTGTTAAATAGCTCAACAAAACAACCATATGATCAGAAAAGAAGTTAGGAAGAAAAAAAAATTAAAACTGTTGAGAATTAAGAAGAAAATAAATAATACTAATTGTATTTTTTTAATTATGTAGACTAATCACTTGAGAAATCAGAAGGAATTTTTAGGTGCTAATTAAGTATTAAAACTCATCATCAATGTGGTCATTTAAAAGTTTGATGAACAGTATTAAATTATTGTATAAATTACAGCTGAAAAAGGGAGCTAGACAGTATCAATATTTTGGGTGAATACTGAGTTAGAATTGTATGCCAATTGAAATTAAGGACTGAGAAATGAATGATACTGTATACCCCACACTTTGAAATAAAAGAAAAATTAAAAAGGATGAAGCAGGGGAGTATCTTTTAAAATAAAAGCAAAACGTACCATTGGTTGGGTGTCGAGCAAATGAGATAGAAAACCTTTTAACAGCAGAACCACGTGTGGCGTCTGAGAAAGAGAAAAACAGGTACCTGAAATTCGTAACAGCTACCAAAAGAACACTTGAAAAAAGAGGGGGAAAAACAAATATACAAGGAGGTTAGAATTAGGTGACATGCAGAAGGCACAATGAGAGAGGGTAATAAGCCAAATACTGGTTAAAAGAAGAAAAATGGCTTGATGATAGAGGCCTAGTGTTTAATGAAGTATACAAAAGAAAGAAAAGCAGGATGAGCTGGCAATTCTGGTAAATCAATGTTTTACTGACTAAAATAAGTTTGTGGATACACGAGAAAAAGTCTTAAATAAAGCTAATCCTGAAAGGGCTAATAAATACTCTTATTAACAAAAGGAACAAATTTCCATCAGTCTCAAGAGGCATTCTGAATATTAAAATTTAAGGTGTATTTAACAACTGTGAGGATTTTCTTCAACTGGGGATTTTAAAATATACTCATCATATGTTTATTGAAATAAAGATATTGCCAATGTGATATTTTCTTCTACTTATAAACATTCCATTCACTTTATTTAGATCAGTATCAGTAAGCAAAATAAAGGTTAACAATCAAAAGACATTTAAAAGATCAAACCAAGATTTTTTCTTTATAATATGGCTTACCAACTGTCTAAAAGAAGAATACACATGATGCAGTTCTAAATTTCACAAACTGCTCATTGAGCAAGTACTGGAAGTCTAACTACAATTAACTGATGAGACGTGGATCCAAATAGCAGATAACAGAACACTGATAGGCACTTAGACAAAAGGTGCTAGGGTTCCACTTCAGTCAGTCAGCGCCTTAGGCTTGCCTTGGGGAAACAGCGTATGCCCATGGGTGTGTGCGTGGGTGCAGGTATGAATCTGTGTGTGCATGTGTGCACATACCATCTATGCAGCCAGAAGAGGTCAGCTTTTTACGATGAGTACGAGCATAATCCTGTAGGTTAGGTGCGCTTGAAGAACCCCCGAGCACCGAGGTGCTAAACAGGCCCGCACAGTGAGACCCTGATGGGAGTTAGAGAAAATACATACAACAACGGGTGTTCTTCCATTCACATTGGGAATTCATGCAGCATGCAGTAACACGGCTCTTACCACAAATACTTCGCAGTGCCTTGAACAGGCTCACAATTCACTTATAATGTCAACTTTTAATACAGTCACTACCACCATTTACCATATGTACAATTGGAGGTATTTTACACTGGAGAAAATGTTCTTTGAGGACATATGTCCACAAAATAATTAAACATATACATATGATAAGTATTGAAAATACTACCATAAAAATTAATCTAGGATAAGAAATTCTGTCAATTTGCCTGAGCAGGCCATATTAAAAAAACCTCTCCTAGCACAAATTAAATCATATTAAATTAATATTCCTGAATGTATGTAAATGAAGAACTTTTTCTGATGTCCCTGAATTGGAGTTATCAACATCTGTTATGAAATAAAGCAAATCAAAGCTTCCTTATTTGTGAGATCAGGTGGAAACAATTCCTTTTAGGTGGTCACTGAGGCCTAAATCACTTTAAATTTCAAATACAAATGACTTAAGATTTTAATTAATAAGACCCCAGTGAAACACGTTATGAGCAAATAAAACATAGCCAGTATAAACTGATGCTTAATTTGTAGCAAAAGTCTTTACATCCAAGTAAAACTTTTACCACTGGGTAAAGATTAAGTAAAGTTCTATAAAATACGTTATAATACATAAAGAAAGAAGTAATATATATGTGTGTGTGTATGTATCCAGATGTAGATATATACATATATATATCTGGCAAGATACTGTGGGAATATTAAAAGTTATCAACATAAGATACATGTAATAAAAGAAAGATTTGTTTCAAGTATGTTGGCATCAATGGGCACTTCATATACTTAGTGTAGAGACCATGGTACATACATGTTGAAACGTATACTGAAATTTATTTCTGCTGTTGTTAAACCAATTAGCAACTATTTACAGAAAATAGTATATCAGTAATTCATATAATTTATCAACAATGATCTAAAACCAAAATAAGCTTAGAAAGGTCTTTTAAAATGTCGCTTTGCTTGAGTGTTAGCAAAGAACTAATTATGTTCTATAGGTCAATAAAGAGTAACATTGCCACTGTGCATTAGCTTTGCTTTGGTTTTCCTTAAGAGGTGATCAGAAGGGAAAATCAGTACATTCAGATAGGGTTTGAAACACTCCCCATTTAAACATTTTTTTAATCAGAAAAATAGAAGGTTTTTTTGCATGCGATGGCATATTTTCATCTTTATCAATGACAAAAATGAAGTTTCCTTCCTAAATTAAAAAATGTTGAGATTCTAACTTAAAGAACACAGTATTAAAAACAAGCATTGGCAACTGGACTAAGTAGTTTACATTACGGGCATTCCAAGGGTTATAAAACAAAATTAAATGCTATTTCTTGTTTATTTTTATCAAAACCTTATTGTATATTTCAAGTTTAAAACGCAACATTTCTGAATTAGTCTATGTTAAATTAAAACTAAAGCATAGCATTTGGTCATGCTTTCACAACTGAAGAGTTTTACATGTGTGCGAAGTAGTGAGTTTAAGAAGGTTTGGAATACAATTTCCTGTAGACCACATACCTACAGTAGGGTTCTGCTTCTGTTCCACAAGAGTTCTTGGTGTTCGCAAGTAATTAGCATTTTCAGATACAACCTGCACGAGGAAAACAAAATAAATGAGGTAAAACAGTAAAATAAATTAAAAAGTCCATACTTCATTTGCAGCCTGTTCCAGACAGACACAGGTTAATAAGCTGTATGATAAATATTAGTAGAAATACATAAAATATGAAAGATCATGCAAGATCCCCTTCTGAAGGGAGTCCATTTCATATGAGGTCCTTGCAATGAAGTGGTGCGAAGCAGGCATTCAGAATTAAATATCATGTATGAAACAAGACAGATGAAAAGAAACAATTAATAGACTGATATAATTTCACTCTCTCTTAAAAGAAGCCAAATGCCCCACTCTTAAACAGCTCCTGTATTTGAAGGGGGAAAAAACAATCACAAACAAAAGAAAAGACAGACAGAGACTGTTGAGATCACCATACAATTACTGATCCATGCACAGGCTTTATCAGAGTAACCTTTAAATAATCACAGCCTTAATGGATACCATAATCCCTTTTCCTATAATCAAATGCATTGTATTTCCAAAAGGAAATTGTTGAAATTCTCGGAAAAGTCATGTGTAACAGCAGACCTTCCATTGTTAAAAAAAAACAAAAACAAAAACCAAAATAAAACAACACAATATTTTAAGTTTCCTAAAGTCATCACAGAAAGTCCTTCTGAAATCATTTTATTTTGACCCCTTTTGTAAGGGCATATTGTTAATGGGCACATATATATTGCTCCCTTTTATCTTAAAGAGAGCATTAAAATGTTATATACTAAAAAAAGAAAAAAAAAACATACTCTATGTAATTAAATTAGATACTTCCAGATAACAGAGGGAGAGAACCGTCAGTATTAGATGTATCCTGCTAATTAATACGGGGCCACATAAATTTTGATATTTAAAAAAATGTTCACATTCTCAGCAAAATTCAAATAGAATCTAGTTTTCAATTATGGGGTAAAAGGTTATTAAATTTTTTTTACCATCAAACTATGTAATTTCATTTCTGAATGCTTTAAAGGACAATAAAGTCAAAAAAAAAGTCAAAGAAAGATTTTTTTTCCTTTAAAAAATTTTTTTATTAACAAGGTTCCAGGAGTACAAAATTTATTTACTAATTTTTAAATCCTGGATATTTAAAACCGTCCCAGTAAAGATGCTAAACGTATGCAATGTAAGCGGTTTCTTTCCCTCAAATATTATTCAATATCCCAAGAATTTTTAAATAAACTCAAAGTGAAAAAACAGAAGGATTTACTCTGATGTAAAATACAAGGGATTAGATGTCCTCAAAGACAGCTGTTTGTTGCTCTGAATGCGGGGAGGAAAAATGTTTAATGAAGTAAAGTTTAAAAACCTGTTGCCATGAGCCAAAAATACTGGATGTGAAAGCCAATGATTTGGGGGAGACAGGGGAAGAAGTGATTTGTTCCCCTGATCTGCGTCTTCGACGCCCAGTACCCACACCACTGGTGTAATGCAGCCAGGTACCAGTACCCTCTGGGCTAGACACACTCAGGGGGCTCTCTTCCTGGAAGTGAGAAAAGGGGCAAAAAAAAAAAAAAAAAAAAAAAAAAAAAAAGCAGAGCATGCAAAGTTAGATACAACAGAGCCAAATGATCAGAAAGAAAAAAAAATACAGTTTGTTTGCATTTGCTTATCAATTTTTAAAAGACTATGAAACAGTAATTTGGGAGCCAAATATTTCAATATTTGAGAAATTGATAGGAATCACTTATAAAGCTAATTGCAGGTGATAACGATGAGAATTACCTTATTATCTTAAATACACAAAATATTTATACTGTTTAATAGTTGTCCCTTCCCTCTTAGAACTGGAAAGATTTTTAACAATTTTTAATCTTAGCAATTTGAAAAATATGAAAGTATTCTGCTTAATTTTAGATATTTAAGAGATTTTGTGCTACATTGGGTAAACTTTTCTACCCAAATAACTAAAGAAGCCTGCAGAGGGTTAAAGAGACTTCAATTTATGTAAAGTATAAAAGAAGATCTGCCTGCCAGACAAAAAAAAATTAGAGATCATGAGATGGAGGATTCAAACTGCACTTGTTTACACTTTCAAGCTATCTACTTGTTTATCCCCTCCAAAGATTATTTATAGAGTTCAGTAGGCAAAACATGCAGCAAACATTCTCATTTTACATGTTTGCATGTTCAGATTTCAGACAGTGAGGACAGAATAAAATCTACTTGCACAAAATGAAGAGAATAGTCTTTTTCTCTGTGTGTCTTTTGGAAGTACAAACTTCTGATATCCATGAAGATGGTGGAGGCTGGAATAAGTCTTCAAGGTTTTACTTGAATAATTTACCTTATGGAAGTAAAAGTTTAGCATGGCATAGAAATAATCTCTTGAAAGCAACTATTTAAGTATTTATGAGAAAAAGGTTTATCAATGTGTTCTGTATTTTAAGAGTTAACAAAGGGCAGTGATTTTGTTGAAGATTTTACAAATGAGTTGCGAAATGAAGGGCTCAGAATACATTTGACTGTATCAGTGTTATGGGCTTTTTTTTGGAGTGCAGAAAACGGTTTAATGGTACAATTCTGAACAATCTGATACAATGCAGATCGCTTGTTCAACATCAAAATCACTGCCCTCACACAAATGGTAGTTTAGATTATATTAACATAGGTCATTTTCCAATTTTCTAAAATTAAAGATGCCTAGACATAATCCCAGTTTTCTCATTCTTAAATTAAGCTATAATAGAACAAATAATCCCAAATTCTGTAATTGTTAATCATTCTTTTTTAAAATTAACTAAAAATACCACATTCAAGGGAACCCTAACCAGTATATAATTTCCATTATAAAATTATAACAGTCTGTGTTATTGATGGATATTTTTCCTATACATAACTGTCAAATTGGGACACATGTACCTGAAATTTGAGAATTAGAAAGCACTTATGTTTATATAATTTGGGGCTGCAAAAATGAGCATAATTCTTTTTTGTTGGTGTTTTTCTTACTCACCAACTTCTAGACAATGTATCTAACCCTTAAAAGTTGGCATATTTAATCAATAACAAAAAATATTTTTCTACCTTAAAATTTGATGGTTCTTCTTATCTTAAATTCTTGCTTTCTGCTTTTACTCAAGCATTTAGAAAACATTTATCAGCAGCACTACTAATCTCAAATCAGTGCTGGGAGAATGATTGTATAGAGAATATAAATAACCCAAAATAAAGGTATTTGAAGTATAAATTGTTTACAGATGTTAAAGATTTACTTAAGCGTCATTCCAACTGTTCAGTTTAAATTTAAAAGTTGTTTTAGTAGTTATTTAAATGTTATTTTATTAGTGAGTATAATAATTAGCCTAAGTTATTTAATTATAGATCCTAATACAAAGGTAAATTTTTCAATTATAGCATCAAATTTTCAAATTCCTATACTGACTTTTGCAATCAAGTTAACAGTTTAGAATTTCACCTCTTAATCTACAGCATCATTGGAATCAGTTGACTGAAGCAGCTACAGAAATTCCTCACTACTTTTAACCAAAAATTATCCCTAACTCATTAAATCAGACTTTTAAAAAAGTTCTTCTTAGAATAACCTAAGTGACAAGACAAAAAAAAATGGATCAGTGCTAACAAAGGCCTTATTTTACTATTTCTAGTCAATTTTGTTATGAAAACTATACATAAAGCTCCAGATTCTAAAATGAATCTTTATATTTTCTAACTGCCTCTTTATTTTTAAAAATTTATTTGAAAAATAGATAAAGTTAACAATTAAAAATCTGTTAGGTTCCCAAGCTTCATAATTAAAGCTGTATTTTCTTTTCTGTTTTATTAAAATATAGTTAGTTTACCTTATAAAAAACATGCTCTGACACATATACTTACCTCATTTGTGGCCATCTTCCTAGATCTTGGAAGTGGAGACTTCCTGTGTATATGAATTGGCTCTGATACTATAGGTTTAAACAATATCACAGCTCGATCAACCTCATCTTTTTTAGAAGTATGTGGTTCGTCATCATTATCGATTTTAAAAGATCTCCTCCCTTCATTCTGTGTGCAAAGCATACAACATAATAAAATTCAGATAAAACAAATCAGCCTCTTCAGATGAACAAACTCAACCACCGAGTGGCTTAGTCACTTGAAGTACATATATAAGTTAATTTATTCAAGTGAATTAGTATTAATTGAATTCTTATAACATCCTAGTATTATTCTGGGTATTGAAAGACACATAACAGAGTTCCTGACTTCAAGAAACATATATACTCTATGGAGAAATTAAACAATAAAGTAACAATAAAAATCCATATAAAACAAAGTGCTTAATTAAGTTTCATCAAATGCCCAAATAAATAAGCAATAATAATAGATGACAGTAAGAAAGAACAGAGATCAGTTTTGTTATCAGTAATGTCATCAAACCAAGCACAAACTAAAATAGCACCTGAATTTATAAATTTTAGAAAATTTAAATTCTATTCCAAATATTTCCCCAAATGTGATGACTGCATACTTAACAATCATTCAATGACTCACTAAATATTTACTGGGCACATACCACGTGCCAAGATACAGATTAATAAGACACAGTTCCAAATTGTAAGAATCTCACGGTATAGTATGGGAAACAGACATGATAAAAAAAATTTATACTAATCATCCTTATGTCATAGAATAGGTAAAATGGGGCATGGTCATATAGCAAAACACATATTTTAAAGCAATAAGAATGGACAAACTAAGACTAAATACAATTACATCAATGAATCTCACAAACACATCAGTCAAAAGAAGCCAAGTAGAAGTATATGAAAACCTTCATCAAACCAAGGGGTATAGAAAATAAAATAAAATAAAATAAAAAACCTCTTTAACTAGGTAATGTATATCTAAAAACTTGGGACAATCATCACAGATAATAATAAATCATTGAAAGACAAGAATGTCATCATCACTAGGCCTATTCAACATTTTGGTAGGTCACTATTCAGGTATGATCACATACATAGAAAATCCAAATGACTCTATGGATAAATTATCAGAATGAAAAAATAGCATGTAGTAGGTTGTTAGTTATAAAATCTTTACACAAAAATGAGTTAAAATTCAATATGAAAATAGTAAACAGAAAATGAAATTTAAATAAGCCGTTTATGATAACATCAAAAACACAAAGAACTTTGGAATTAATACAACAAAGGTAATACAAAACAGTAAAAAAGTCTTAATTTTATCAAAAAGGTAAAAAGAATAGCTAAATAAATTCAGAGATATACCAAGCCCTTGGATTAGATACAATTCTGTAAACATATTTCTCTCAAAACTGATCTGCATCATTTATGTAATCTCAATCAAAATCCCAAATTCTCTTTGAAACCTTACCTTTCACTTTAGTTTGGGAATGAATGAGGATGCTTAGTATAAACACTTCTTTTCAATATCATACTGGTCTTAGCCAGTAGCACTTCACCAAAAGCATATTCAAACGGCTAATGAATATAAAAAAAGGTGCTAATCCTTATTGGTTGTGAGAATAATGTAAATTTAAATCACAATGAGATATCACCACATAACCCCCAAAATAGCTACATTAAAAACATTAATCATACCAAGCGCTGATAAGGATCTGGTAATATCTTTGAAAAGCTAATTGACTGTATTTTAAAAAGCTGAACATATGCATACACTATAATTCATCAACTTTACACCTAGATGTATATCCAAAAGAAGTGTATAAATACGTTCAGAAAAAGACCTGTAGAAGAATTTTTATATAAGCATCCATCTTCAAACCCTGAAAACAAATAAAATGATCATCACAGTAAAATGAATTAACAAGTTACACTTGTATTTATTTAAGGAAACCCATATGGCTACAAAAATGAAGAACAGAATAGATGAATCTGAAGCAATAATGAAAGAAAGAAGCAAAGCCTAAAGCACATATCTTGTGATTTCATTTATATAAAATTCAAAAATAGACAAAATTAATCTATGGTGTCAGAAGTCACGAGAGTTAGGCATCTCGGAGGAGAAGGCAAGGACATTGTGATACAGAGGTGACAAAAGTGATTCTTCTGAAATGGTGATATTATTCTACGACCTGGCTAGTTTTTTCACAACTGTGTTTATTTTGTGATATGTTATTAAACTGTACATGTATGATTTAGGTATGTTTACAAACATGCATTATAGTTCAGTAAAAAAGTTTTAAACTGAGTACATATTTAACCTTGTAGGATTATTTTAAGGATTAAAAGGCAATAATTCATGCCAAGTACTTAGCATGGTAAAGCATGAACTAGTCCTTCAATAAAACAACAACCAAAACCAAAAATAAAGTTATAGTTATTCATTCTAAATACTGATCTTGAAAACTGAGAAAATCTAGAAAAAACATAAAATTCTAATGTGCCTAAAAATGCTGTCTATACAAATCATACTTCAAGAAGACTAAACTATCTTGCTACTTAGTAGTTGGATTAAGAATCACGGTACATTATAGAAAATTCTTAAAGAAACCTCATGAAAATCTAGAACTGCAGTAAGCACTGAGAATTTCATCTTCATTACCTCCCTTGAAGCTGGTCTATATCCATAGCCAGATGGTAAATTTTTGTCTTCTTCACATCCTTTGGCTCCTGGACTGAAGTGTAATTCAACATGAAAGCGTTCCTCAGAGGAAAGATCCTAAAGAATATTATAGAACATTTTCAGAACGAGAAACTTCAAACCATTTATTTACCACTGGTAACACACATAAATCGAGAACTCTGTTACCTTGTTAGGATCCTCATAAAGCATGATAACAATCTGAGTCATGTAGTTGAGTTCATTGACAACATTTAAATAATCCATAGCTCGTTTCCACTGTTCATCCTTTGACTCCTGAACAAAGGTATATGATAAGCATTTTCTAGTATTATATTACTTGAAAATCACTTTATTTTTGTTATGGTAATTTGTTGTTGAATCCTGACTGATACCACACAAATAAATTGAATACTTATATGTACAATCTTTTCAAATAACTCCACTTATTTAAGTCTTAATAAATTATTTAAGCATAAATAAATTATTTAAAAAATTTCTTAACAGTAGCAATAGAAACTCCAGTGGTAACTTTTAAAAAATAACTCATAGGAAGTAAAAATAAAGAAGCTCTTAACTATGACACCTACAATTGAATTCTTAGGGTAAGAGACAATTTTTAATCTTAAGTCTCAAAATACCTAACATAGTGTCATACTTCATAAGCAGACTATCTCATAAAAGTATTGCTATTTTTCCCACCATGATATAGCTCACATATGCATTACATGCCCATCAGTAAATATTCCTCATTACTCTGTAGTGATATCTTAAAACAATCAGCAGAAGGAGGCATAGGTAGATTCTTTAAACCATCTCCTTCACCTTCATTTAGAGAATCATTGGTCTTTAAACATGTAATCAGCATCGGAACTGAAAGGGATTTTAGAGAACACGTCTTACAAGCATTCAAAGCAGAAAATTCTATCTGAAAAAGTAAAACTACACAAAGTTCAGGGTCGACAGTCAATAGTCGACGGGGTACACTTAGACTTAATGTACATCGGAGACAACTTCCTTCATCTCATATATCATAAAATAAGACTACATTCTAATTATTTTTTTTAATTCAGCATATATGTCCTTTTGAAATTTAGACATTGTATTGAGGAAGTATTCCACTTGTGAAGTTTGTAGAAGGGTAAAGTGTAATTTGTGTGATTACATGTATTCTTAGCTTCATTTCAACAAATGGCTAGTCATACCTCTAAATGAGCAGTTGCTATCAATTTAAGCAACACTCCAGAGAGAAAATTCATCTGTTATGTTCATGTGTGTCTGCCTGTGTCTGTGTGTGAGGAGGGATTAAGTGCAAAGATGTATATACATTTTTTCAAAATTCATAAGGAAAAATATAAATTAGCATAGTGTTACTGAGTTTCACTAGATGTGAATTATTGTAAATGATGGATTTAAATTAAGTATTAAAATTTTTCAATAGTTGAAAAGATCTTTTTTTAAATCCATTAGCACAGATTTTTATAAGAATGAGGTGTTTTTTTCTTAATTAAGCAAACTTTTATTGCAGCTTAAATTGTGGTACAGAAATACTTTCAACTGATTTAAGTCCAATACTAGGAAGAGAGAAATTATGCACCAAAATTTTCCCTCCTCTATCAAACACACTAGGATTAATTTAGATTACTATTCAATCTATAGGTTTCATTTTCCTAGGCTTTGTTTCATAAAAATTTCTGCAGTTTTCAGCATTAAATCTATTAGTAGGGGGTAAAAATCAGACCTCAAGCCAACAAATGTCATCAGATCTACTGGGACACTTAAGAACAAAATCCACTCTGTGATACTTATTAATAAGAACACTGCCTAATATCTAACTCAGTCTTCTCTTGCAGTTACAGATTTTGTCAGGTCTGCTCCAATGAACAGATACAATTAAATATTTTGTAGGATCTATAATTAAAATTTAAGAATTCATAAAAATCTTTTTTAAAAATAAAGACTATTAAATATATTCCTTGAAATTTTGTTTAAAATCTTATTTCCTTAACTAAACTTTAAGAGACCAAACAAGGTTTTAAGTGTATTAGCTACAGGGTCTTATTAAGATAATGAATTATAGCTGAAATAAATTAAAAAAAATTTAAATCAGAAAACAGGGTATCATTTTGGTACAGACTTTAATTTTCACTTTAGTAAATATACGTAATTTTTTTTTATCCCAGAACCACAGATTTTTCTAAGAATGAGTTGTTCAGCTTTTGTTTTAAAAATGTAGTCAAATGCAATATATACTCATCAAGCTCTAGTTCTACTGCCACCACCCTACATGTAAACTATACAGTCTTTCTCTAGGTCACTGTGATAGGCTCCTAACTAGTTTCCTCATATCTACTCTTATGTATTGTCTACAAAACAACCAAAGCCATTCACTGGCCTGCTTAAAACCTTTCAATGGCTTCCCAATCCCCTGAGGATCTCCAAGGCATGCCTCTCCAACCTTATCTGCTGCCATTTTATCCATCACTCACTACTATGCTCCGAACACAAGCCTTCTATCTGTTCCTACATCCCCTATGTCCTTTCCACCTTGTAAGTAAGTACAAGAGGGTCAAAAGGTGACCACATAAGAGATGTATCTCTCCTCCCCCAGAACAAGTCCATCACTACTACTGGCTATATAAGCTCTTGCCTTGCTAATTAGGGGTCATCTTTTTCACTATTTCTTTTATTAAAACTCCACTAATCTGCATAGGCATGCAAAGGATGTCACTTTCTTATTCTTAATGAGATAAAAAAGAAATGAAAACAAGAGGAAAGAAATATGAAGTAGAAAACTTGATGGAAACAAAACAGTGATAAAGACTTGGGGTAACTTTGATAATAAGCTTTCATCAAAACCCAATAATAAGATAGATAAAGAATCAAGAGACATATACCCAATCTAGATTAGACATTTCACTGTCCTTTATTTAGAAAGTTCAAAAGAAAACAAAGTTGAATTCATTTTCTTTTAGAGATCACTTTTTGAATAGATGTACATAAATGTGTACACCAATATATACACAGAAAATATTTTTTTTAATTCGTACTTTTTCCTAGTTCAGAGATGGCTGAAAAGATATTTTTGATATACAATAGAAGTGATGCTGTATTCTAGATAATCTATGGTTTGAGAGTGCTGAGAAAGGGGATATTAACATTTCTAAGTCTGTTTGGTTATCACTTCCACTGCCAATCTCTACAATGTCACTTGCTTTATCTTTTCTAATTCATACTTCTGGGGAATCTTATTAACAGCCACTGCCTTAACGATCATTAATATGTTGGCTTCCCAACTCTATACCTGTAACCCAAACCTCTAGCCTTACATATACACTTGACTAGTCTACCATCCATCCCAAACTGAACTTACTAATTTCCTTCTAATATCCTATATTCCTCCAAGTGTTACTTATCTCAGTGAATGATGTGTAATTTTATAGATGGTCCTATATTAGAAATATGGGAATCTTTCTTGACTCTCTATTCTTTCTTACCCTTCATACCTGTATGCAAAGAAAGGGCCTTAAGGAGAGAGTGCTGGTGAAAGTTAAAATGTCTCCAGAACAGAGTGTTAGTGAAAGCCTCAAGGGCATTGAGGAGGTTGTTGGTGAGGGATTATCGGAAGGTAAGAAAAATGTCATTGGAAGCTATAAGAAAAAGAGCCATTGTTATGTAGTGGCATAGAGTGTAGAAATACTACAGACTGTAGACAGTGAAACTCGATGAGTAAGCTATGAAGAGTTTCAGGAACAGTTCTGAAAATGCCACCAAGGTTCTCCTCATTGCCTACGATAGACTATGAGGGGAGGGAAATAAGCTACAGGGAAATTGCCAATTACAAGACTTGCGGGGTTCAAAACTAAAACTATTTCTCATTCCCAGCCTCTCCAGAGAGTAAACAATACTATAGTTAAAAAGTGGCTTCCAGGAAAAACGGAAACACAGGAATCTGTCATGAAAACATGGATATGATCGTAAAAACACCTGCTAAGACCTCAAAAAGGTTTAAGGCTCACAAACCTTTTAAAGACATGAAAGATTTTCTCAGGGTCTTACCAGCATGTCTCTCAGATATTCACTATTAAGCAATAAGGATTGCTGAGGTTGTCCCTCAGTTGCAGGCTTATTCTTAAGATTTGTGGATGTGAACTGTTTAATGAAGTATATTATAAATTACTCATTTTTGTTATGTTTCTAAAAATCATACCATCTCGAACTAAAAGTCAAAGACCTCTTGATCTCTAAATTTCCCTGGGCAGGAAGTAGTTTAAAGAAAGCTCCTTAGCTGCAAGCATGAACTACTTTTTATGGAAAAGTTAGGATGACCCAGATGAAGTAATCAAGAACCCAAAGGATGAAGCCATGAGCCATTATAAACAACTCCCTGGCAGTATGACAGAGCCCTAATTAAGGAATGGGCAATAATACCTATGTAGATTTCAAAGTTGCTGTGGACTAGTGACTATGGTGTACCTTCTGTTTCCCTTCTTTTGAAAAGGTTATCTACAGCATTTATCCTATGCCTATCCCACCAATGTATGTTGAGTGTTTGAAGGATAGTTAATTGGTCTTTTCAGTTCACAGGTCTTTCAATTGAGGTTGAGTACTCTTGAGCACTGAAGGAGTTGTGCTCAATTGATACCTGCACCTGATTTAGACAGAGATCCCACATGTCAAGTTTACACTGTAATAGATAAGCATGGAGGAATATGGAGGAGAGATTAAGTGAATTTTCCACATGGGAGAAATGTGCATGTGTGGCCAACAGACATACTGTGATAAACTCTGTTTTCCAAAGGTGGCCACCAAAATATACCCAATCCAAAATAACCCTCTTACAATATGACAGCAATACTCCACTAATCTAGTAATGTAGGTCTATTTCCCCTTCCCTTGAACCCGGATAAAGCTCTGTGACTGTCTCAACCAAAAAACTCAGCAAAAGTGATACTAAATAATTTCTTAAATTAAGTCATAAAAATGCTTTGCACTTGCTCCCTGTTCTCTTGGGAAAAGGAAGCAGGTCACATGAAGGGTTCATTGTAGGTATTCTGGTCAACAACCCCAGCAGAGGTTCTAGCTGACAGCCAGCATCAAGCATCAGCCAAGAGAAGAAAGCTTTGAGATGATATGAGTATCAGTCACTGTCTGCATCCTCATGAAAGATCCAATGCAAAACTGCCTAAATGATTATGGTCAACCCCTTAAACTATGACGGAGAAAAATAAAATGACTGTGGTTATTTTGAGCCATTCAGCTTTGGTCTGATTTATTACATAACCGTAAATAAGAGTCACACTGTCCAACCAAACACCATGTGCTGTCTGTCAATTCTAACCCCTAAATAATGCAGCTTTTCTTTATCTCACTGCCACCAGCCTGTAACATCACCTAAAATATTTTATATTACTGTTTACTTAAATGGATCTTCTCCAAAGGGAAGAGAACATGTCATTATCTACAACATCTAGCAGTTACTTGATATATAGCAGGCCCTTGACCAATAATGGCAAATGATGAGTTATTAAAAATAACACAGCAAAAAATGGTGTTAGTGATTTGATTACAAATTCAATAAAACATATTTGTTAAGCTGATTGATATAACTTATTCTACTTACATTGCATAAGGCACCATAGCGAAGAATAGACAGTAAAGAATGTACATGACTTTCACTGGTGAAATACAATCTGGTACGAACATGACGTTCAGGAGACAGAACACCTCTGGAATATCTAAAATTAGGAGCAGACAATGTCAAAACATAACCATACAGTTAAAACTGAGTAAGTATTGAAATTATTTTGTAAAATGGAATTTAACCTTACTAGAAGTGAAAGAAAATAAGTAAACACGTAAATCTATCAGTCTTCGGATCACAATGGAGGCGTTACCTTAGACATCCTTCTAGTATGAAGATAACTGGAACTCACTGGGACCTCTGAGATTACTCTAAGAATAATTAATATTAAGCTCCTTTGTTAGCAATGGAAGAGGTCATAGCCCTTAAGAAGCTCACAGATGTTAATGCTGTTGAATGGGGATGATCACTGATGACCACATGTGAATGATGATACAGACCCTCTTTCCCTATTCACCTCAGTTTTTTTCCCCAGTTTGGAGCCAAAAGGAACTTCGGTTGGAAATTAACTATTAGGATTACCTAGGTAATCTTTATTTCCACAGTGTGCCAACTGATACACTTCTGATACAGTCATAGGAACATTAATCAGCAATTTAGATTTGAAGTATGCAAAAACATATGCCTAGAGATTTAAATACCAGTGCAGTCTCTTACACAGGATGGAGTTTATTTACAGTGTCATCATCTTGGGTCCTCTGAAGGTCTGAGCGAATTTTTCTAACTAGAGGAGTACAGTAGCCTTTGGCAATCTCCAGTTTTTCAGCTTTAGTTATACCATACTCCTGAGCAGAAAATACACAATATTAGAAAAAAGGTATAATAATGATAAAGAGCTTCAACAAATGCCATGTCAAATTTAAGAATTTCAGTGAGAGACCAATATATTTACTAAGACTTTTTTGAATGTTATAAAATTCCTAGTACATTTCTGCAACGTTAAGTATACTATTCCCCAAACTATTAAGTGTAATTAGAAGGATTTTTGTGGTGGAACTGAAAAAGCAAGTGATTTCCAAAAAGAGGACACACAGATAAATGTAATCTTTATGAACAGTAGCTCAACTCAATCAGGTTTTAAATGTAGATAAAACCGTAAAAGAAAGATAGGTTAAGGACACAAATACTAAGGCACAGAACAAATAGTCAGTAAACATATAGAAAGAAATATAAATTGAAAATATGAAATTTTTATCTGTTTGAATGTCAAAGATTAAAAAAGGCTAACAAATTATTTAAAAGCCTTTGGCCAATACTTTTAAAGTTTTAACTAGGAGTTAGCCAAAAATGCAACGAAATTACCAAATTTAATGGGCTCTATAACCATTATGAGTTAATTAAATTTATGAGGAATTACAATCTGAAGTGTTAAAAAACATAGTTAATTGCAACAAAAATTGCAGTTCAAAGGGGTAATTTAGAAAATGACTTGATTTAAGAAGACAAAAATCTATGATGTGTGTGCAGATGGGAAGAGAGGGTACAAGAGGAAGAGGGCAGAAAGTGGGGTCAAGGGGAGATCAGAGGGTAAGAAGCAAGACAGAAGGAGGGAAGAAATGGCACACTCTTTCTCTCCAAGTTCGTTCTAGGATACTTGAATTTAAAGGCTACTTCCTGCTACCAGGTACTTCCCAGATGGCAAAACGTTAGTACGGATAAGGAATCTCAAAACTGCCTAAGAAAGAAAAGGTTGATGTATTATATGAAAATGGAACCTCTTGAGTCATTTACCTTAAATACTATGGCTTAGTTGGTTTAATCATCCATCTCACCAACATAGATGACTGTGATTTGGGTACGAAAAAAAGAAATGTGCATGTAATTGTGTATGTGTGTGTAAACAAAAGAAAAATGCTGAAATTAAAAATCATCAGAGGAAATTTTGTTGTTGTTATTAGCAAGATGTGAGGAAACAGGCACTCTCATACATTGCTGGGCTGGAAGAAAACTAGTAAGAGTTCTGGAGCTACAAAATAGTCTTGAGTGCATGTAAAGACATATGTATAAGGAGAAGGAAAGAAATTAAAAGAATCCAGATTTCCAAATACGAGAAACTGGTTAAATAGTTGTTATTATTACATCATACTGTTCAGCCATTAGGGATAATGAAGTATATTTAGCTTTACTGATTTGGAAAGTTTTTGATGCCAAGAAAAAAAAAAACAAGTTGTAAAATTCTATGCTTTTCCTGGTTCTAGTTTTGCAGATACATTTGTTACAGATGTGAATTTATGAAAAAAATTACATATCCATGACTTTAAAGGGAAAGGTCTTTTAGAGTTTTCCACAACAGTGAAATGTTTTGCTCTAGCTGGTAATGCCATAGTGATTTGGGGGGGCTGTATTTATATTTTCTAATTTTACAACAAAGATATATTATTTTCATAATAAAGAAATCTTTCCCTTCAACACAGTGACGTATTTTGTATAGCTGAAAAAGCAAGTTGCCACAACCAACTAGGACTAAATAATTATTAGATATCCAAGTTCTCATATAATTGTAATACTGCTGCCATAAGAAGAACTGATTAAAATAACAGGTGAAGAAATTTGAAAGTTTATTCAGTGGTGATATTTAATGAGTGTCATTGGACTTTATACTGAAAATGCTATTATAAAGAATCTTCTGCATTTCATAATCTACAAATAACCAAAGAAATGATCTTCAAACTTCTATAAATGTCTGCCATCTCAATTAAGAGAATCTTAATACCAAATTTTATCTTTAGATGTTCTTATCTACCATCGCATCATTGAGACTATTTTACTATTTAACTTACTGAGGTAACAGTTTTTAACATTGTAAGTTTCATGCATACATTATGTTTCAACTTCTGTATAAACTACAGTATAGTCCAACCCCTCCCCTCGGGCACACACATTATGCCAACAATGGTGGACTCTATGGCAGACGACCTGGGCTTTCTCGCACACAGTCCCAGGCTCAGCCCACAGACAACTCCAGATTCTCCAGGCCATCTCTGTGCCACCAACCCCAGTCCTCTCCCTGAGTCTGTCCTCTGAAGCCTGAGCCTCAGTGTCCAGCCCCTGCACACATCAGCAGGCTCACATCTTAGCCTGGGGAGACCAGAGAGGTGTCCTGGATCCTCGGCACCAGTTTCTCTCGGTTCTGCCTGTTTCAGAGCGGCTGCTGTGCTGTGTTCCAAGCCCCTGAAGCACCCTTTGTCTCAGCTGGTCTCCTTGCTGGTGAAGGGGCTTCCCAAGTTGGGGGAACTTTTCCTCTTTCACCGCTCCTTCCCTGGGGTGCAGGTCCTGTCGCAATTCTTTCCACGGAGATTCCTTTTGTAACCATGCTAGCATAAGATCTTCTGCCAGAGTTCACTAGGTACTCTGTGAAAACCATTCCACATATAGATGTATTTTTGATGTATCTGTGGTAAGAGGTGAGCTCCACATCCTTCTATTCCACCACCTTGAAGCCCCTCCCTGATATGAGTTTAATATTCTTAAATTTATTGAGAATTGTTTTTTGTTCCAACATATGGTCTGTCCTTGAGAATGTTTCGTGTACATCTGAGAAGAATGCATATCCTGCTGCTTTTTGGATAGAATGTTCTATATAAAGTCCATCTGGTCTAATGTTTCATTTAAGGCTGTTGTTACCTCATGGACTTCGTTTGAATGATGTTGATGTAAGTGGGGTGTTAAAGCCCCCTACTGTTAATACGTTGCTGTCAGCTTCTCATGTTAAATCTGTTAGTCATTGCTTTATATATTTAGGCGAGTTTTCTTGAAGCTCACTGGATTTCTTCATCTAAGCTAATTTTTTGTTAAATGATCACTATTTTGAATTCTCTACTGTTTAGACTGTAATATTGTATGACTTTAAGTTTGGTTTCCAGAGAACTGTCACTTTTTTGGGGGGGTGATACTGTGTTACTGGGGTTCTTTATGGTGCCCGATGAGTTGTTCCTCTGCTGGCACATTTGAAGAAGTAAAGTTTTCTTCTTTAGGTAAAGTTTTTCCTTTTTTTAAAAAATTTGGTTCTGAAAATTCAACAGGTCAGTATTTAGAGGTCTTTCTTTGTGTTCCAGTCGGTGGCACCACAGCATAGCTTTGGGTTTTCTTACATGAGTTACCTCTGGTCATGTTTGAGAACTGATACTTTTGACACTTCACCAAATCTAGAGTTGTCACCAGATGTCCTCATTGTCATTATTGTGCCTCCAGGGTCATTGGTGCCTTGTTGCCACCAGTGTTGCTGGTGTCACTGCCTAAGGCACTGGGATAGCTGGTGCCTCCTTTGTGTCCAGGGTCTCCTAGGTTTCAGGCTCTGTCACTGCAGGGGGAGAAGTAGGGTGGGTGGAGGGAGCCGGTGTTACAGGTATCTCTGCCGTGTCCAGAGTTGTAGGGCCCATGAGTACTGTCATTGTGGGCAATTGTTGGCAGGGGTGGGGTAGGGTGGGGGATGGTGTGGCAAGGGCTACAGGCACCTACATGGCTGGAAGGATGGTGTCACAGGCCCCACTGCCACCAATGCCGGTTCCTTCTGGCCATGGATGCTACTGCAGCTGAGAGGCTGCAATCCTATGTGCCACTGCCCCCGAAGCTGCTGGGTTCTCTGAGGCCGCAGGCTCAGCCGACCCTGACTGGAAGTCTCTGATCAAAGGTACAGCCTCTACGTTCTCCTAGTTCCACTTCCTCTATGTGTTTCAGTCCATCCACTTTTAGGTATACAGATGTATGGAGATTTCTAGCATCCTGGTATGGTAAGCAGAGGCATTTTTGTTGAGTTACGTACATCTTACTGGTTGTAGACTGAAGGGGAGAGACAACGTGAGCATGTCACACTGCCCGTGATGCTGACTTCACATCCCACTGTGACTATTCTTAAGTATCTACTTTAAACCAGGGCCTCTATTTTCTGAGGACTGAGACTGATTAAAAACTGAAAAGTTGATTATATGACAGCAAAAATATCTACCATAAGTAAAATCAGTTTAACTGTTAAAGTAACTAAACGTAATAAATTATGCTTATCATAGTAAAGCTTAGACATGATTAGAATTATGTAATTCACACAGCACAGATATAAGAATTAATTAATGCCATGTAGGAGTGGAAATGGATTTTTAAGAGGCTCAGCACCACTGAAATATATCAGAACACATATACATTTTTCTTGTACAGATTAGTGACACTCTCTTAACCTAAATTAGTCAAAATAGTACATTTGACTAAGTCATCAAGTCTCTAACCTTGAAATAGTCTTTGTGAAGTAAATATACAAATTTCTCATTTTTTCCATTATAAATCAGTTTCATTACAATAAGTATTTTTGCAATTTTAGTTACTTGTTCAGTGACTGAAAATGCTTGCATCCTGTCCATGATTTTGCATTTATGTAGATGTGAGTAACAAAGCAAAATATTTACCGAACTGAATTCAAAAGTCCATTAAAAAAGAAATCCCAAGTTTTTGCCACAATAAGGAATATCAAACTGAAAAGTTGGGGAGATAAATCCTAAGTTGTCCTCTCCTCAATTTATAATCTCAGAACTCCAGGAAAGTATATAAAAACACCTCTGCTTTTAAAGTTATAAAATTACCAAAATTTAATTATGAATTTAACAAAAACAAGATTGATTACTGGAAGCTTGGGCATAATGTTGCCCAAAGAGTCCTAAGATTTCAAAGATAAATAATTTGTCCAAGATAAATACTTTTGGATATGTCTTAAAATAAATTGTCAGACTGTTGAGAAAAATCTAACCTAACTGCATCATGACAATTACTATACTATAATAGAGATTGAGAACAGCTGAGCATGAGAAAGAACTTTAACACTACGAATGTCTCAAATCATTTCCTAACCATTCTAATCGTCAGTATTTCTTCTAATTACAATGCTTAAAAAACATTATAAATATTTAAGTTACAAGGAGATGGTGAGAGATTTCTTTAGCTATATAAGTAATGTACCTAAAATCAATCTACAATGTTAGAAGGAAAAATCATCATCTAAGACTCATTAACACATAAGTATTCCTTTAAGCCCAATTCTTAGAAACACAGAATGTTTAGTATACATAACTGAGAAAGAAGAGGCAGGAGGTTAAATAAGCCATGTAACGGCACAGGCGTGATTATGATAATAAATCATTAGTGTATTTATTTAGCCATTAAGTAGGTGAAACATTTAGGTATAATGAAATCCTACAATGAAAAATGCATACAGCTACAATAAATATTTCAGAGGGTCCCATATTTACAGCTTACCTATTAAAAGTATACTTTAAAATAACCTTCATTGTAAGAATAAGTACACCCAGAATGCACTGAGCCTGGACTAATGTCAAAGAAATCCAATTAACAATAAAAAAAAAAAACACGGTCTTATTTATGCTTCCAATGCAAACTAATCATAATGCTTACCGGAATTAACAGTAACCATTCTCCTCAGATTTATTAGTAAGTAAAATTTAAAAGAATTCTCTATCTTAAATTTCATAACAAAGATGGATGCTGATTTAGTAACTTTACTAAATGAGATATAATCAAATCAGTTCTACAATCATCTACCCAATATCACGTAGCTAAAACTGAGCTCTGCACAATTTAGTATATTTATTTTGACATTAACCTTAAAATATCTTACCTGTTATAAAAATAAGACTTTTTACTGTGCAAAATAAAATTTCTCTTTTGTAGAATAAAACTTCTCTTCTATTTGGTAAATGAAGTTTTCAGAGATTAAGTCCTTGTTTTCTAAATCAATATTTCTTAAAATGAAGCCCAAAGACATGTTTTTGAAGTATGAAGTATTTTTATCCTCTCTTTTAAAAAAAAATTCGTCTGCAAATCGTATCTCTATCACTATTTATACAGCATACTTAAAATGATCGACCTTGTATATACTGATCAAACAAATAGTAGCTCTTTCACATTGAAAGAATAAGCTAAAATTTAACATGTATTTCACAAATAATTTTAAGTATGTTGGGCAGTCTGAATTTTCAAAGTCTCTCATTTTTCCTAGACAATGCATTAGGAAAGGGATACTGATATTATTTTAACCATTTTATTTTATGAGTATTTTTACCGAAATATAGTTGATTTATAATGTGTTAGTTTCAGGTGTATAGCAAAGTGATTCAGTTATATGTATTTTCAGATTAGTCTCTACCATAGGTTATTATGAGATATTGAATATAGTTTCCTGTGCTATATGGTAAATCCTTGTTGCTTATCTATTTTATGCATAGTAGTTTGTATCTATTAATCCCTTACTCCTAATTTCTCTTTCCCCATTGGTAACCTTAAATTTGTTCTCTATATCTGTGATTCTGTTTCTGTTTTTTATATAGATTCATTGGTATTATTTTTAGATTTCATATGTAAGTGCTATGATATTTGTCTTTTTCTACCTTCACTTAGTATGATGTTCTTTAAGTCCATCCTATATTTTGTTCTTTCTTATGGCTGAGTAACATTCCACTGTGTGTGTGTGTGCGCGCACGCGCATACACCACATCTTTTTAAACCAATCACCTGTTGTTGGGCACTTGGGTTGTTTCCATGTCTTGGCTATTGTAAATAGTGCTGCCATGAACACTAGGGCCTATGTATTTTTTCAAATTAGAGTTTTCATCTCTTGCAGATATATGGGAATGGGATTGCTGGATCATATGGTAGCTCTATTTTAAGTTATTAAGAAACCTCCCTACTGTTTTCTATATATCTTTTAAGTGAGGCTACTTTGATATACAATCTTTGTACTTCTCATATATAGTTGACCCTTAAACAATGTGGAGGTTAGGTGCACCAATCCTCCATGCCACTGAAAATCTGAGTATAACTTATCTGTGGTTTTGCATGCACAGCAGATTCAATAACTGCAGATCAGGCAGTACTGTAATACTGCTGAAAAACTCCACATAAACAGATTCACACAGTTCAAACCTACATTGTTGAAGGATCAACCAAATTTCACTTTTCCTGTTTTTTAACTCTGGTTCACAGTTGGAATGTCTGATCTATTCCAATCTCCCCTTTATAATATCCAAATAATCTTCAAGTAATTAAGTTGCAAAAAGGTCCTCAAATGACATCTGAAATTATTTTTTTTTAACAAATTCTGTATCTCAACTTGTCACTTACCTCGTTATTATCAATCTGATTCTCTGTTTAATTATATTTCAGTTATTTGAATATTGGTTATACCTTTATTTTTATTTCCTATAATGAAGACTCAACCACCTCCACCACCACTACAAATAAACACTAAACATCTTGACCTCTAAATATTACTTTCAAAATACTTTCACATAAAGTAGACCTGTAAAATTTATATAGGGCCACAACTACCTTTTTCTCTCACTCTGCATACATTTCCACAGCATACAGCTGGCAGATGCACAACAGGTGCCCCATAAATACTTAAAGTGATTTATTCCATCCTGTTTTAAGTTGTCTGATTTGTTTTTAATATATTATTATTCTTTAAGAGTATCAATTCTTCAATTTCAAGAAGTCACTACAAACTATTAAAAAATCAAGAATGATCTAATATAACAAGAAACTTAAAATATAAGTTCATAATTACTTACGTTTCTTTTTAACATTATAGGTTTACTATGAGATGAAAATCAACCATCTTTTGTCCACTGACAAACATCTTAAAAGTATTTATATAACAGTACAAGAGAATTGATTCACAGGAATTACCTACCTGAGGGATAACAATATCTGCTAATGCCTTCGAAAGCCTATATAGTTCCATTGTGTTTTCTAATTTCAAGGAACCATTATGCTGGACATCATATTTTATACAGTCATATATGTCAGGGATTTTACTAATGTCATATCTTCCATTCTTTGTTTTAAAGTCTTTCTCCAACTTGGACCATCTACGTAGCATGAGCTCTAACGTTTCACTATGATAAAGCTGAATATCTAAAACAACATAACATTTTTATTACATTAAACTTAAAAATCAGGTAAAGAATATATATTAAAAAGTTCATAATTAGAAACTTTTTTAAATGTCAAAAGGCAAAATTGTTTAACAAGCTAGGAAATGTCATCATAGGTAATATAATATTAGCAACCATACAGTTTGTAGACTTGAATAAAGGTATAAACACGTGGGTTAGGAACTGGGTTTACAAAAGCCCTCTCCATGTACTACATATATCAGTTATTAGCCAAGTTACTAACCACGGTAGTCTCAGAGCCAGAGCATGTAGCACCTTCCCGCTGTGTGCTGCTGCTTCTTATGCTGCCTATTTGCTGCTTAACTATATGGCAATGCTACATAATTAATCAAATGAAAATGTTTTATTATCTCTTTCATGCTATCATGGATAAAAGCAAGTATCACTTAGCTATTATTCTTTTGTTGGATATATATTAACTCATATTACACACCTAGATATAGTATTAGAGGCTTCATTTCTTATGATTGGTGCATCTTATTTAAAAATGTTTATAGCAATTGGACAGTGATTTTATTTGTTTTCTGATCTAAGAGAAATATAATATTTACCTGATGATTTGGGATCTTCCATTCGATGTCTGATTTGAGAAGTCAAACTTTGTATCAAGGAATAAACTTTGTCACAGGTCTTCACAGGATTTTTAATTAAATGCATTGATTTGATAAGAGAAATGCTTCCAGATGGAGTAAGCTACAATGAGTAAAGTACGTATTTTACATCTAGTTATTCCCAACTGTCCATGAGAACAGTATATAAAATCTTCCAGTAGCTGGAGAACAATCCCAAATCCCAAATTATGACAACCCCCAAAATTCAGTAATAAGATCAAAGAGGAAGTAAAAATCTCACAAATTCATGTTAAAAATTTACTAAACCTTAGCTAACATTAGATTATCCACAGAGAAAATCTTGCAGAAGCACTCTAACTTACAATGACATTTTGCTGACTCACTTAGTATGTGCAAATGTGATTTAACCATTTGACATATACCTGCATGTAATAACCCTGAGACTATTATTATCATCTTCTTCCAGATAAGGTACTCAAACTCTGTTGCCCATGATCAAACCACTAATATGTAAAGAGTGGGATAAAAAGGCTGGTAGCCTGGCTGAAGAGCTGGTGCTCTTAAACCACCATGTTAATACCTTTGTGATGAGATTTTCCTCAAGTCAACAAAAGCCATTAATGACAATATAGTTTCAAATTGCAATGCTGACACTTTGCTTGGCAAGTAATTTAACCCCACTAAATAAGTTTCTATAACATAAAAAATATAAAGTGGAATTTCACTTCTTATTATGGTGAACTAGGTAGTTTGGGCCAATCTAATCAATGAAGATTAGTAAAAATCCTGGGCAAAGAACTTCTATACTTTTGCTTAAAGGTATTTGAGAGAGAAGATAGTAAAAAATTATGGAAGAAAAACTTATAGGTCATAGATCCAGAGAGTGATTCTGGCATTTAAGGCTGCTTTTGCATTGGAGATGTTTGTTGATCCTGAATAGACAGCAAAAAAGCCGAAATGAGCTGCAATACCCTTTAAGACTAAGGCGACAAAAGTGAAGTCCAGGGTTCCTAAAGGTGGAACTCTGGTAAACTCTCTGCATTTAGGATTCAAAATAGTGATTAGTTGGAATCTGCATTTTTAGTAAGACTCCACAGATAACTCTTATGCAAATTGAAGTTTGAAAAGCACTCTAGCTCTGGAGTCCTTGCAATGTTCAGGAAGAGAGTAAAAGCATGATGTCAACATTCAACTCTGAGACATCACAGAAGCTTATTATTATCTCTGGGGTAACAACAAAACAAACAGTAAAGTCAAATACAATTTTCAAACCATCAGGGAAATAAATAAAAAGTACCAATTTCAATGAAGCAAGAAAGGAGAGAAAAATAAAAATAGGCAATACAAATATAAAGCACTTGAAGGGATAATAGATTCATACACTAAATTTATGAGTAGTTTATAAGATAAATAATTGTCTAAACAAAGATTCACATAATAAATTCAAAAATTCCAACTAAATGCAGATTTTAACAGACACATCTAAAAATATAGTTTCAGAAAGACTGAAAGAGCTAAGAGATACTATGCAAACACCAAATGAAAGAAAAAATCTATAGTAGTTAATTAATCCTAGAAAAAGCAAATTTTGAGCTAAAAAAATCGACTGAAATACACAAATTCTTAATTTGGATGCATCTAACAGCATGACATCAAAACACATAAAGCAAGGATTAAGAGACTACGAAGACAAGAAAATACAACTTAAAAAGGCATAGATTTGGAAATTTTAAAAGTACACTTCTAAATGACCTATGATCAAAGAAATCACAACAGAAATTAGAAAATGTCCCAACTTGCATAAACCTCAATTTATGAATACACTTAAAACAGTGTATAAAGGGAAATTTGTGGTCTAGTGTGTGTATTTTAGAAAAGATTGAACATTCATGAGTTGATAAACATCCATCTAGTGACATTAGTTTTAAGAAACAGAAAAAGAGTAAAATGAAACTATAGAAGTAGAAGGAATAAAATATTAAATAAAAATTAATAAAATGGAAAGCAGGTGCATAATTCAGTGAACCAAAAAATCCACAAAAGGGTTCTTTCAAAGGACTAAGAAAGCTGATCAACCATGACAAAACTAATCAAGAAAAAAAAAAGATGGAAACTATGTTATGAAATAAAAAAAGAGTATCTCTACTGATCCTGCAGACATTACAAAGAACTTGAAGATGAAAGTATAAACAAAATTCTAAAAGAATGTAACTTAATATAAACACAAGACATAATAAATGGAAACTACTAAATTACTCTGGAAGCCATAATTACAAGCTTTCCCATAAAGAAAATGCCCATAGGATTTACCACAGAATTTACCAGTAGATTTTATGAAACATCTAATGAAACATATATGCAGAACTTATACCTCCCAAACAGGACTCCCTAACTAATTTTATGAGACCAGTATAATCCTGGTGTTGAAAGCACAAAGATAACAAGAATTTAAAAGTAAATTTGACTCATGAACATAGACATAAAACTCCTAACCAAAAATATCAGTAAACCAAAACCAGACAGATATATATATATATTTTAAATGAGTTTATCCTAGGAACCAAGGTAGTCTCATAACTCCCATAAACCATATGATATAATAGATGAAAAGAAAATGTAAAATTAAAGAACATGTCATGGTAAAAACTCTTAGCAAAATAGGAACAGAATGTAATTTCCTTATTTTGAAAAACAGTGGCTATAAAAAAACTACAGCAAGCATCATGCTTAATGGGAAAGTGTTAAAAAGCTGTCTCTTTGAGAACATGAACAAAAACAAGAGAAGCCACGTCTATTTAATATTGCTTTGAAGGGGCTAACTATTGAAGTAATGCAAGAAAAAGAAAAAAAATGTAAGGATTGGAAAGGAAGAAAAAAACCTGTGGATATGATGAGAAGATAAAATCTACAGATAAACTAATAAATGAGTTCAATAAGGTTGATGCATATAAAGCCAATATTAAAAAACTATTTGTACATAGTAACAGAGAATAACATTCTTAGAGGTACCATTTACAACTGCACAAACATTTTTTAAAAGATGAATGTTTTCACAAACTACAGAGCTATTATAGTCTAAATCAAGATATTAGCAGGATTTTTTGGCCAGCTTATTATGATATTTATGTGGAAATACAAGAGAAGCCAAGTAAAACTGAGGAAGGAACCATGTAGGATTTGGGAGATCTTATTCAATGAGACAAGGGTCAACAGAAGAATACATTCTAGAAGCAGACTACACACAAATGATAAAGCTGGTACTACAAAGTAGTGGGAAACGATGGTCTTTTCAGCATGTGGTCCTGAGGTATCTGGATGTACATATGGTTGGGGGGGAAACATCAATTTTGACATCCTTACCTAATAGTACACACAAAAGTCAATTTTAAGCTAGACAGCAGACAAATATGAAGGGAAAAACTGTAAAGCTTACAGAAGATCACATATAAGAATATCTTATGACCCTTGGTTAGAAAAAGGTATTATAAAAAACAGATTAAAATTCACTGATAATAAAGGAAAAAATAAACTTGGAATTCATGAAAAATAACAATTTCTGCTTATTAAAGGGAATCATTAAGGCTTAGAATAGATGGTAGTATTTAAAACATATATAAGAGCTCATACAAATACACAAAGAAGTTTTACCACTCAATAAAAAAAAAAATACAGGCAACTAGCAGGAATAAAGGACAAGACTTGAAGAGAAGGCCTTATAAAAGAAGATTTCTAAATGGTCAATGAACATTAAGGCCACAATGATGTATTACTAAATATTCATCTTCAGAATAGCCAAAATTGATCAGTCTGAGAATACCAAGAACAGAGACTATACAGAGCAGCGACAATTCTCATGGACGTCTGGTGCGAGTATAAATTGCCTCAGTGACTTTGGAAAACAGTTTGACATCATCTGTTAATACTGAAATACAAGCATACTGTGGGTCACAACACTTCCACTGTTAGAATATACTGAAAAGAAACATACTCACATGCACTAGGAGGCTATATATTTACGGCAGTATTAATCCCAACAGCCCGAAAGTATGTGTTTGAAAGCATATATAAATTCTAGTATATTCATAAAATAGAGTATGGATCAACAAACATGGCCTGCAGGCCAAACATGACCTGTAATAACAGCCCATGAGCTAAGAATGGTTTTTACATTTTTTTAAAGTGGTTAAAAAAATACGCAACACGTGACCATTTGTGACCTGTAAAGCCTTAAATATTTACTACCTGTTCTTTCACAGAAAAAGTTTGCCAACCTCTGAAAACAATACTACACAGAAATGATTATTAATTAACTATGGAAATTCTAAAAAAAAGGGTGAATTTCACAAACATAATATTGAGGAAAAACAGCCAGACATAAAAGAAAACATTCTATTATATGAAGTATAAAAAATAGTTGAAACTGAGACTATGTAGTTACAGATGCATATCTACCCAAATAGTATTCTGGATGTAAGACTATAAAGAGTTAGAATAGTGGTTATTTCTAGCAGGAAGGGGAGGGGCTGCAACAGGGAAGAGGCCAGAGTTGTTCCAATGTTGTTTCTCTACCTGTATAACGATTACATGAGTATATACTTTATAATACAGTAAGCTTTAAGTTTATGTTTTATGTACTTAGGGTGTGTACACATAATATTTCACAATGTAAGGGTTCGCTAAGACCCACCTTTTCATAATCTTCAGCAGTAAAATCTCTGTCCTTCTGAAGTATTTCATGAAGTCTTGCTTTCACACGTTGCTGACAACTGCTCAAAGAGTCACTATCACTGTCCAAAAGACCATTCATGTTCGCACTTTTTACCATCTGAACAAGAATGGGTGTAAGCTCTCCTTCTAGAGCCAGTAGCCCCTAGACACATTAAATAAAGCCAACACAAATTTAAGAATTAGTATGTAAAATAAGAGGAAGTATCATAATAATTATTTTGTTACATGCTGAATTTCATAAGGTATAAGCTAAATAAATTTATTAATAATACAAATTGACATTGCCATTTCAGGGCTTTAGTTGGAAGTTTCAAATTTAGAATTTTAAAACACTGCCTACTAAAAACCTTTTAAAATACATTATTAGATGAAAATTCTAGTAATTCTAAAAATCATTTATACCTTTGCAAAAGCAGCTGCAGTCATCTGGACTCGTCCTTCATCAGAAGCATATATTTTGAGGTCATGTCGGTAGGTACTATGTAATCTAAGTAAACCACAACCAGGAAATCCTGCATAATCTCCTGAAAATAAATCCTCAAATCACTTAAGCTATATTTTTATCTCACTGTATTTCTATAAATATTTAATAACATCTCATAATAAATGAGGATTTGAAACCATAGTGTATGACTTTAACCAATTTAAAGAAACTCCAAGATTTACCTTGACCTCCAGGATACATACACCGGAAAGCTCTTCCAAGTTCTTCAGCCTGGACCCTGCCTGCAGGGGTTAGTTCTCCTCCCCACTTAAGAACCAAAAGTAAAGATGGTTCTTCTCTTCGGCTGTCTAAAATACATGTGAATGAATAAAGCAAATGTCAAGTGTGTTTCTTTTAAACAGATATATTTCAAGAATTTTTCTTTGTATCTCTTCTGCACTGAAATATGGCCCTTAGGCAAATTATTTTGTTCCTTAAACATACTATCTTTGTAGACTGTTGCTTCTGTTAGGAATACTCTTTGCTCTACCTGTTAAAGTCTTACGAAAATTTCAAAACCTCTTCCATACTCTAGAAAGAAGGCTCTTTCTCAGTTTTCTGAAAGGAAGTACTGCTTCTCTCCCTTTTCTGCTCTCACAGCGGTCTAAGAGCACTGGTATTTACCCATGGTATTCAATTGTGCTAGGTATGTTACATTAAGATCTCCTTGATGACAAGATTCAGATTAAGAGCCTCCTGCAGTGCTGTCACATAAAAGGTAAAGTTAGCTGAAGTGAAGAAGATACACATGCTTTTATAATTAGCAATCAGTGATTCATGTAATTTTTAGGAAGACATGAGAGGATAGAGCTAAATATTTATTATAACTTAAGTTTATGAGTGAAATATACAACAAAATGTAGCCAAGAGCAGCTTTTTAAGTTGGGAGTTGTCAAGTCTGTATGTCCCAGAACAAAGTATTTTCTCAGACATAGGAGAGGCCTGAGTTTTTATACTTAATTTTTTTTTTAATTGAAGTATAGTCAGTTACAATGTGTCAATTTCTGGTGTATAGCACAATGTCCCAGTCACACATATACATACATATATTCGTTTCCATATTTTTTTGCATTAAAGGTTATTACAAGATTGAACATAGTCCCCTGTGCTATACAGAAGAAATTTTTTAAATCTACTTTTATATATAGTGGCTAATATTTGCAAATCTTCAACACCCAAATTTATCCCTTCCAATCCCTTTTCCCCTGGTAATCATTAAAGGTGGGAGAGCGGAAAATATACTTAATTTTCACCTTCTCTTTGTCATGTCCTTAGATCTGTGTTGGGTTCCAGAAACAATTTCATTAAGAAATAAGCACTATAAGCACTGAAGAATTTGATGATTCATTCAACCTGGGGCTCATTAGTAGTTATATGTGCTTTACCCTGCAAGCCATTATTAATTTATAGACAGATAATAATTAACTGACTTTTTTTCTTACAGTAGTTTATAGAATGTTTTAATATAAACATTAAGAATAGGAGATTAATCTATGTTGCTTTAATCACAAAGTGCAACAAGAGCAATATATCAAAATTTAGCATATATTTGTGTTTGCACTTAAAATAATCAGTAGGAAGGTACAGCTCAATGGTAGAGTACATGCCTGGCATGCATGAGGTCCTGGGTTCAATCCCCAGTACATTCATAAAATAAATAAACAAACAAACCTAATCACCCCTCCCCCCAAAACCCATAAATAAATAAATTAACATAATCACTACTTCAATTTTTGCCTCTATAAATAATGCCAGTGTGAATATTACTATAGACCAATCTTTTCCTCAATGTCTAATTACTCCCTTGGGATAGATTCTTACAAGTAGAATTAAGGCCAAAGCATAAGAAAAATTTACAAAAAATGTGTGAAGATTTTGATATCTCTTGCCAAATTACTTTTCAAACAGTTATATTAATTTATAATACTACCAGTAAATTGAAATCCTGTCACACTGTATTCTCATCTGCATTCTTTACTACTATTTGAAAAATGAATAAAATAAAAAAGACACTTTATCAGTATGATAAGCAAGATTATTTATATTATTATAATTATTTTATTGGGCATGTGCATTTCTCCACAGAATGGCTTCTTCAAATCCTGCCTGTGTTTCTTTTATAAATGAATTTACAGGATTTTTGTGTTGACTGCTCTTAGGAGACTAATCTTAAATGCTTCTTCTTATTTAATGGGTTGAGAAAAATATCTGTTTTAGAAAAATGTTGATTGTGTACTTTTTCCAACAGCCTTTTCATACTCTTTGAACTTTTTTCTTGTACACCCTATATGGAGAAGGGACCCGTCAAGTAACGTGTAGTTATAAATAAATAAGCTTTCTGAAACAACCCCAGAGTAAAAGGGAAGTCCTAAGCAGTTTTCAAAATAATAAAACCTATCCTTTAGTTAAAGGATAAAAAACAAACCAATTTTTACTTAAAGGCTTGAAGGCACTATTAACAAACGCTGCTTTATTTTTCCTCAGTTCAGCATGCCAGTCCTTCAACTATTAGAAGATTACAAAGGCAATCAACAGTGAGTATTAAATCCTTGCATACAACAAAAATGCAACCGGCATTAATAATGACATACCTTCCTCTTCACTAGATGTCTTCGGACAACCATGAGGGAGATAGGTTAATTGGACCTTACGATTTATTCCAGAAAAATGGCCATACCTGAGAAATAAAATGGCAAACAGAATGGACAACATTCAGTAAGCATTCCATGCAATTTCCTAAAGAAATGCAAAAGAAAATTAAAATCCGCCTAGAGAAAAACTAAATCTATGTCCCCTTCTATTTGTAATTACCTTCTTGAATTCTTCAAAATATCCTAGCACAAAATCTGTACCATAGGTAGTCATTCTAACCACATGTAAAAAAAATATCAAAAAGTTTCTCTGCGAAGAGACAATTTGGGGGGGGGCAGGGTAGTTAGGTTAACTTATTTATTTATTTTTAGAGGAAGTACTGGAGATTGAACCCAGGACCTTCTGTATGTTAAGTACATGCTCTACCATTCGAGCTACACCCTTCCCCCAAAATGGATAATTTACAATAAAGCATATAAACATATAAAAATGTAAATGTATGTGTCTTCAAAAAAAAAAAGAAAATAAGATATTAATTGGTCAAATAAGTAAACCTTTTAATAGCAATACTGGTGGTACCAATTTCACTTGATTAAAATAGTTCAAAATTATTTTTTATTTAAACAGCACTGAATCTGTGGTTAAGCAATATGGCCTTCACCCTAAGTAGTACTTCATAGAAGATCCAAATTTGATGTCCTTTTTTGATCTTACCAAAATTAAAAGTAAAACAGTAACCACTAATTCTCATTAGACTTTCACTAATTTCCCCTTAGTTATAGTGACAGAGCAAAAAGATCAAACTGTGAAGGAAGTTAACATGAACAGTCACACACT